GATAACACAACAACGGAGAGACTAGACACGGCTAAGCTAGCTGATTGGTAAGTTCCGCGTAGCTTGAGCAGTAAAAGGTTGGTCATCATCATCGTCATCTTCTTCTTCTTCTGTTGTGAGTTTGGAGGTGAGGCTGAGGGAGGAGAGAAGATACAGGAAGACTTCTTATATATACTATTCATTTCTTACTCAGATCTGCCTTTTTTCCTCCTAATCAACATGAACTGCATTATCTGCCTGTTAAACCTGTCTTTGATTTAAGAATGTTTTTTGTTTTTCCTGTTTTTTGTGCTGAAACCTCATTTGCTGCATCTTGAACCTGCTGGATGGTTTGCTTTGCAGTGTAAAAAACCCAAACAATGAATTTGACTTAATGACCTAACATGGTTTTATGACATTCATTTTCATTCAAATTACTTTTAATCTGACAAACTTAGCCTCACTGGAATGCATATGCCCATTTATTTAATTTTTTTGTGTCTTCATCTTCATGTTTCTCTATAAATGTCTGAATGGATTTTTACCAAAATATATCAGACTCTTTTTCCATGTATCAACTGCATAGAATTTGGAATCAGTGTAGTATTTTTTTAATTTTTATTTTAAATGAATTTACAAAAAGGGTTGATCTTTTCTAAACATGCTGCCATATTGGGTTTAAATATTTAGGTTGGTGACGAACATGGACTTGGAATATTTTTTTTTTCATTTCTGTGGAGCTTTCTATTATTTTTTTCCAAAACCAAATAAATTTAAGATGAAATTATGAACAGAATTACAACTACATCCTTTACCCAATCTGTAAGAGTCAAATTCGATTTGTCTTTAATCACATCATCCATGAAAAATTACATAATAAATGTGTTAGCAGTGGCAGAGACAGTACTATCTAAAGTTATTCCTGGAGAATACCACACCACACACTGTTCATGTCCAGCTCTATGTTCCAGCTTTATTAAACACAACTTATGATAACCTCATATTTAGTTCAATAAGTGTATTTCAGTGAATTAGCACCTCCAACACCTTTATAATTAGAGAAAGGCTGTAATTAGAGCCAGGCTTGTTCAGAATGTGCGTTTTAAGCCGGTGCGGCTGTGGTCCAGTGAAGTATTAAAGGAATTATCCCGAAAATTTCCTCCAAGGCTCAACTGCATAGAAAATGTCTGGTATCTTGGGTAGTACCGACATGGTGAGCTCTCATAGGTTGGAGGATGATGCCCGTAGTCACTTGAAGTTGTCTTGAAAAGGAGACTTTTGAGCTTCATCGTTGTGGATTCTCCTCCTTTAAAATTCGAGTTGATCATGCAGGAGAAAACTGGGTTTCCAGGGTTGTTGCACGTGCTTTGGTTTTCAGCCATCTGCTGCTGAGGGGCTGACATCTCTGCTGTGCCTTTAAAAGAATTAGATAAAAAATAAAGGCTTAAAGCAAACCTTTTTTTGATCTCCTTTTGATTTATTAAACAGGTAAACATGCACAATTTCTATTTTTTGAGATTTACCGTACTTATTAATCCTTATTTTATTTATTTATTTATTTATTAACACAGCTGAAAGAAATGGCAGTGAAGGCCTTGAGAATAAGCTGGAGGATATGGATGGATGGATGGATGGATGGATGGATGGATGGATGGATGGATGGATGGATGGATGGATGGATGGATGGATGGATGGA